CTAGGAATACGTCTCCCCTCTGCTTAAATACATTCTCAGTGCCGGTGTGATATGTAACGGGGTCTCCTAGCCCAGCTAGCAGGGCACCAGGGGTACGTCTCCCCTCCGCATAAACACATTCTCAGTGCCGGTGTGATATGTAAGGCTTTTCTTTAAATCTTTATAAAGGTTAATCAGTGAAAAACTGTCATTTTCTAAAAATAATTAAATACAAGTCTTTCAGTAAATGACAGAGGTAAACATCAAGCTTGTGTGAAAAATAGGTTAATTCTAAAAGGCTGAGAATTAGCTGTGATGTTGGTGTTTTTCCTCATTAAAGACCCAGTATTAGCTCGTAAGCCACTCCTCCTACACTCACCCCAGGTCTGACAGCCAATCAGAGCATGTCCGTGTGCAATGTGTAATGTGATATGCCAGTGAAGGTCCATTTCCCACCGGAGACTGTGATCTGTGTCATCCTGCGATTATAACTGAGCTCTGTCACACAGCCAAGTTTTTTTTTGTTCTGCATAGTGCCATCTGCTGGGCCTCTCTTGCAGGTGCAGCTAGGATTAATGCTAACACTAAAGACAGTGACAGACCTCACGGGGAAGAAATGTGATGCTTTCACTGTCCAAGCATTTAAGGATCATCCCAAGCAGAAAGCGGTCTTACTGGGGCAAAGCGCAGAGGCGGTGCACACTCTCACCCTCTTGATGTTGCTCCTCTGACCAGGATGGGCTCCCGCTCACCAGCTGGCAGCTCACAGCCTCCGGCCTTCTTCAGCAAGCTGACGGAGAGCAACTCCGCCATCGTCAAGTCCAAGAAGCAGGAGATGATCAAGAAGATGATAGTCAGCGGCGGTGAGTCAGGCTGTAGTCGGTCCTGTCGCTAGTGCTCTCTCTGGCTGTTACATTTTTCACAAGGGTCCTAATCTCTGTGCCCCCCCTGCATCCAGATGCAACTCAGCCTGGGACTGAGATCTTCAACATGCCTGCATCGACGACTGCAGGTATACCCCACGCAAGTGAGCCTCACCTCCTTAACCTCCATTAAATGCTTATTTGCTTTGGATGAAACAAGGAGTTTTTAATAATACAGGCAATTCTTACAGGTCTTTGGATTGTTTTATTATAGTAAGAATTGGTATTATTTTGTATATATTTGATGATGGGCGTTAAAATAATAATGTGCAGTATATAGAGCTGAGGTGGAGCTCTTTTAAATCAGGTTTGTTACCACCCTCTGTTATAACACAGTTGTGATAAGTGTTGGGGGGGGGGGTATTGCACCTCTGCCTTCCACCCGTTTATCCTGGCGGCACAGGGCCGGGGTTTGCCCTGGATGGGACCCCCATCTACATCAGGGCTCATGCTCTCCCCCTCCCCCTGCCCCTTAGGGCCTGTGGCCACAAGGAGCCAGCCAGCCCCCGAGGCCTCGGGTAACACCATCGGGCTGGAGGCCATCATCAGGAAAGCCCTGATGGGCAAGTATGATGAGCAGGCAGAGGAGCGCGCATCAATGCCCCCTGGCAGCGGCCTGTCAGCCTCAGCCCCACCCAGTGAGACCCGCCCCGAGGACACCTATTCTTCAGCAGGTCTGTCCCAGGCCCCATGGCCACCCTGCTTGCAGTCCACACTCAGTAAGGTGGAATCCTGCCATCAGACTCCCAAAGATGTATGTTAGCTGCCCAGTGCTCACTGAGGCTCTGTGAGTCTGAGTTCAGCAGAAAGCGCAGGCAAATAACCCGCGTGTCATATGACTATTTCACCTCTTTCAGGCATGGGGAAGGGGAAGGCTGGCGGGCGTTCCAATGGCCGTAAGACCAAGTCCCCCGGGCCGGGGATGCCTGGCAGCGAGAGGCCGTCCTCCGTCTCGTCCGTCCACTCAGAGGGGGACGCAAACCGCCGCACTCCCCTCACCAGCCGCGTCTGGGAAGACCGGCCATCCTCTGCAGGTACGTCCAGGCCACTGTCCAGAAGGGGTGTAGTCAGCGGGGAGGGAGGATGCCGGTTAGAGGAGACCCCAGTATGGTGGCATCTCACCCAGATGTGCTTGTGCTCTGTCCTTCTGTTCCAGGGTCCACGCCCTTTGCCTACAACCCCCTGACCATGACCATGCGCTTCCCCGCTGGCGTCGTGTCTTCTGTGCCCTCCCCGTCCTCCGGATCCTCCATGCAGCCTGGCCCACAGGGGCAGAACCTGGGGCAGAACCAGGGACAGCAAGGCCAAGGGGCCCAGGGAAGGGCCTGGGATGAGGAGCCCAAGCCGCTGCTGTGCTCGCAGTACGAAACGCTGTCCGACAGCGAGTGACCAGCCAGCACCATCTCACCGCTCACCCCAGTCCACACCGCCAGCACCACACGCTCACATACGCACACGCGCCGCACTCCAGGACTTCCGGAAACTTCTGGTCAGAGCGCTTAACCATCAGACACCTGTGCACCTGACTGACTTCGCTTTGGGGTGGAGCGTGTTTTTGTGCATGTGCTTCTGCGTGTATGTGTGTGTGTGTGTGTGTGTGTGTGTGTGTGTGTGTGTGTGCGCACATTCACAGAAACACTCCCTGAATCAAGCACTCTTTAGTTTAGTGCCCCCCTTCGCTGGTCTTATCGGGGGATGGGACACCTCAGATGTGTATGAATGCCTTGTATTCAGTGTTTCCCAGTGACTGTGGAATGCACCACGGTACGACCCATAGTCTGATGCCAATTTTTTTTTTTTAACAGAAGTAAAAGTTTGACATGTATTTTGGCATGGACACCCACAGGCCCCTCCCTGCCAGCCTGTGTAGCCAGCAGACAGGCCACTTCCTTGGGGAGTGAGGCGCTCTAATGTCCACCCTGAGGGTGATTCTGGGTGAGTCAGACGACCACCCTGCCCTCACTGCACTGGACTCAGGAACACAGGCCATTAGCCAGTGCAGACAGAAATAATATTAAGGATTAAAAACACTGAAACCAGCAGGCCTTCTGTGATCACTTCAGCCTCTCGTGTACAAAACACCCAGTCCTGTCCACAGCTAAAACCACATGGCTGTGTCTAGACAGAGGGAATCTTGCAAATACTCACCAGCCTATTTCTGGGCTTGCTTAATGTCAGCCTTGGTTGTAGGTCATTTTAGGGGGGGAAGGGGTGCACTGATGTATTGTGGGAAATATAGGCAGCAGGTACGGTTTGTACAGTACCTAGCGCTCTGTTAGCTAGCAAGGCTACGTTACCCCCTACACACACAGTGTCTGTCCTACTTCGCAAAGTGAGAGATGAGGTGGAGCAGTTTTTATATATATATATATATATGATTCATGCCAGTTTAGTCCTGTGTTTGTTTGAAAGTGAGTTGCAGAGTTCAAATACCTTTGACAGTGACCTTGGCAGGTTGTGGTCCCTGTTCATTAGCAGCAGTTTGTGTGGGGTATTAATCAGGGTGGTCATTTCAGTGCTTCTACAGGGTACATGTGTTCTTTGTGTTCTGTGTCGTCAGACATTAAAACAGTTTTTTTTTATGGGAGCGGGACTATCGCTTTTCTTTAGTTGCAATGTAACACAAAGACCTTTTTAAAACTTTTTTAATATGGATAATAAGTGAATTTTGTTTAGTATTTTCTTTACTATTGAGACTGTTTTGAAGATGTTCAGCACTTAAATATGATCTGGTTCACAGTGGCTTTCTTGAAGAGGCACATGGGGTTAAAATGCAGAGTGCATGTATGTCTGTGTCTGTGTGTGCGTGCGCCTTAGCGACGTCTCCACCCTCCTCCAGGGTCCAAAGCTCAAGCCACAGTTTCACTGTAATAAAGCCATGTTGAGCAAGCAGAGGCTGGTTTTAACATTGCAAAGAATAAACATGAAACAAAAGCAACACTGAAGCTGACATCCACTGTCATTGTGTGATTGCAGTGCTAGCTGGCATACGGGCTGCACTTTTCCTGGTTTAGTTCCTTTTGTAGGCTACGTCTGTTGCTCATGTCACCATGGAGATGTCATGTGACTTCTGACCTGACTCTGGAGGGTGAGGGCAAAGGGGGGTAGTTCAGGTTCAGAAAGTAAAAGTACAGACCAAAATTTTATTTCCTTCTCATGCTTTTACGACCTTTTCTTCTCCGTAGAGATGTCTACACTCTAACATTAAGTGCCATATTACATACACAATTCTAAAGTCATCACCCCATTCTGAAGTCAACCGCATTGTGACGCTGGCAGCTGATCACCAAAGGGATGTGCCCTTCACTCCCTGCTCAGGAGTATGTGATCTGCTTCATTCTGGTGACCCTGTCGTCTCATGTGGTCTGTGGTCTATCGTCACAAAAAGTAGCACCATAGTCCAGAGGTTCTATCATAGTTGACTGTAACCTCAGAGACAGACAGTCACAGCAGCTTGTGCATAACATCCAGTGATAGACACAAAGACTAACGAGACGTAGCATTTCCTTCCGCTTGACACCTTTGTTAGCACAGGCGAGCTGTGGTCCTCTCACCTGGGAGGCCTGACCAGAGCTGACACTGGACTCATGCAGGAGTGGAGATGAATGGCGTCCTGTTGCTGCTTCCCTTAGCATTAAGCGATATCGTGTGTACGTTACGTTAATCATTGGGCAGCGAGTTGTCTTGGTGATGCTTAAAACAGTAGCTTGGCAGTAAACCTCTTATGCAATATCTCCAGTGAATTTTGTATTTTAAACTTTAATTTTAGTATTTTGGGTAATAGTTTTAGCGTCTGTTTTATATGATCCAATGCACTTGTCTTTGTATGAGGCGCCAAGGTCAGAGCCCGTGGTGGCTGGCATGATGACAACGCGTTTGCCTGCAGCTGAGTGACAGCAAGCTGTTTGCCGCTATTGACAAGACCAAAGGCGGTCTAGCCTGATAAGATCCAGAGCACAAGTCATACTGCAGGTGCTGAGACAAGTACATTGACTGCTTGGGCTCCCTGTGCTACTTCCCTTAACTTCAAAAATTGATAAACTTTAACCAATCCATTCGACTAATCAAGACAAGCAGATAAAAAAAAAATGTAAGGACTGTTTTTTACAGTATATTGGGGAAACATCCTTTAAGTTCAAATTGCGATGCCTGTCAGCAGTAAGACACATCCCTACTTGTAAGATGAAGAACGAAAATCATTATTTGAGTCTCTTAAAAAGATTTTCTCGTTTTCTTTGTGTCTGCTTTGGCTGCTGCTTGCTTCTATTTTTGTTGACTCTGTGATCAAGACCAACTTTTCATCTATAAAGAGAAGGGGATGTTAGCTTTAATTCTTTTGTAATTAAGGAAACAATTCTAGGCAGACAGAACGGCCAATATGTTGCCCAGAATCTGATGGAGTGGGAGTCAGGAAGCGTATGTTTTCTACAACTATATTGTGCATAATTACTTTTTCCTTTCTTCTGTTTTCTAACCTAGTGTATAATAGCACGGACTGTAAATAGAACTGAAGAGATGTAAATATTTATGTGGCTTTGCTGCAAGGTTTGTATCCACTGGAGAACTGTCTTCACTGTCTAATGCAACCTGCCCACAGGCCTTGTGGATAGCAGTGTACAAAACAGGAAACACTGCCTTCATGTTCAAATAAAAAGCTTATTGCCATTGACTTCTCTTATTCTCGTCTGTTAGCGTATTCTCCATGCCATTTTCTCAGTTAGAATATCTCGTCTGGAATCATTTATGTATTAAAGAAAGAGAATTACAGTGGGGCATTTCTAACACAAGAGGGAGATGTTTCCCTAAATTATGTGCAGTTCAGCAGCTGCAGTGCTATACTTGGGTGTTCTTTATCTCAGATGTTCTACATCCTTTTGCCTTTATCTTCACTTCTGGGTAGTACCAGAACTTGGACTTGTCCACGGCTGGAAATTTCTAGCACCATTTACATGAATTAAAATGATACGTAATGATACACCTCAATACTCAAGCTGAGGTGATAACTATTAGTTAACTTGAATATTTGAATTTAAGTCTTGAATTTAACATTAACTTGTGTATTTATTGTAATTGAATAACTTTGACGAAATATCGGTATGTTATTAATTATTTGGTTGTTTGAGTTTATAAGTATCTCCATGGGTCATAGTTGTGTATATTGGTGCAAGTCCTATAAAGATATGGCTGTTTGCAAAAATCTTTGTAGATTCCTGCAAATAGTTCTCTGGGCCACTTTTGTTTTTATCCAACAAGGCATATTCGAAATATCTGGGCCCATTTCCTGTAAGCTGAAAAAACAAACCGCCAGCCACACACTATTGGCCAAGGACAGGATTTGTGCCTTTCTCACTGCTGCCTGTTTTACTGTAGCTTCATATATTTATATATTACTCTAAGGCCAACAAGCAAGTGGTATGAGATGGGGTACAGTGGTGATGTCGTTTCCGGCACTGCCTGAGGTCAGTACTGAGCAAGCAGAAATGTTCCTGAATGCTGATCTCACACATGTAAAGTTGTATCCGTTGGTAACAGTGGGACTCCTTGGTAAGTCCTGGTCTGTTCGATGATACTCACCCAGTTTCCTCCAAAATCCTATTTCCAAACTCAAGGGTGAATGGAGAAGAAAACATGGGGAATGAAGCATCACTGTCCCTTCATTTCTCCTTGTGGCGTGTGGGGATTGAGTTGGGCCCTTTTCTTACTTGGGGCTGCTTACGTACAACCAACAAGGACTGTCCTGGTCAGAGTTATAATCGGAAATGGAATGATAAGGAATCTGGGCTAATTATTCACACTTTATTCATGGAAATCATTGACCTTTTGATGGTGTTTTTCTTCAATAAGCTCTGCTACAAATACATCACCTTTGTTGTAGAGTAAGGTTTGAACTCAGGGGTGCCAGAAGAAATTCTTCAAAGGGGTAGGCAATGATTTTCATGGAGTGAGACAAACACCAAGACATCATCATAAAAATAATAATCTAGCTCTGTATGTTTCTTTCCAATGTGTTTGAAGTGGAACATTACTAGCCAATTTAAAATAAAAGCATGTAAAAATGCAACAAGAATAAATACGATGAACCACACTTAAAATCAATTGATGGCTTTACAAACCTGTTCCTTCAGGAGTGCTCTGGTGCAAATGAGTTAACTATGCAAATTGAGGGCAGGTCTTACACAGTTAATGGTCCAGTGGCGCACTGCAGTTTTCGATGGATTCGCTTCTGAAATAGAATATCTACGGCTTCATTTGGGAGTGGCCCTCATGACTCACTGCTTGCTAGTGCTGAAATAGCGTGCATCTCTGTGTGTGTACACAAATGGAAACAATGTTTGCTTTTCCCCATTGATGAAACACTAATTACTCTAGTTAAATTTTAACTAGTGCATCAGTTAGATTTGGTCAACTGCTCCAATCCCAGTTAATTATTAACAAGCCTTGAAATCAGCTCTTTTAAATTTTGTATTCCAAATGAGAGTCAGAAATCACTTTGACTGGCTATCTGCTTTAACACAAGACTGCAACTGAACCTGCGGCCTTGCAGGACAAAAGCAGTATTTTAGAGCCGGGGTAGGGAAGGGAGCACCATGTGACATTGCAGACTGACGGTCATTCCCTTGTGGGCTGCGTTGTTTTGTTTGCTTTGTCTGCTTGTCAGCAAAGAGGACGAAAAGGACAAACTACTGCCCTGCACTGGACAGCTGGCATATTTGGGCTGCTCTCTTCATAGAGGCCCCTCACCTCCCAGTCTGAACAAGAGTGAAACCATCCCTAGAGCTTTCTGTTAGGAGTGGATGTTCTGACCGTAATCCAAGGCAATTGGATCCTCGGAGAAGGTTTCAAAGGTGGTTTTCTCTGGAAGGAAGTTGGTGAGAAGTACCCATTCTAGGTACCCATTCTAATGTGTGTGAGAGGATCTGCTGCCTTCACAAAATGCACACACACTTTTTCCCAGGTAATTTACAAAAATTTCACACATTCTCTGTTTTTCTTTCAGCAGTAGTTTGCTAGCCCCTTCACGAATCGGCCCCTTAACATGGTGAAGGGGTTTCTGTGTCTGTGATCCTAGGAGCTATGCAGTTGGGGGAAATTTACCCTGGTAGGGTCTCCAAAGGCAAATTGGCCCTAGACAAAGTGGAGTTCAGAAGACTCCTATGATGAAAAAGAACAAGGATCATATAACCAACCTGCAATAGGGAACCTGGGACGCTGTCCTAGAGCCAAGCCTGACCAGGCCCAAAAGGAGAACATGAGTTTCCCCTCCTGTGGGCCCATCACCTGCAGAGGGGGCCATGGAGTCAATTGCTATGTGGATCAGGCAACAGTCAAAGGCAGGGCCTTGGCAGACTTTAGGAGCATGCAACATAAACCTCTGTGGTGGGAAAGAAGCCTGAGCTGGTGGTAGAGAGTTACTGTCAGGCTCTGGATCCAAACTTTGGTAAAAAGACATGGACTCTATTCCACTGTGGAGATGCTCTGGATGAGAAACATTGTGCTGGTGTGAGTCTACTCGTACCCCCCACTGTAGTGCCTGAACATTTAATTTTACTACAGCAAATGATGGGGTCATCTCCCTTTGACTTTGAGTCAGGGGAAGGGATCTGACAGTGGCCTGTGCCTATGCACCAAACGTTAATACAGAGTATCTGGCTTTCTTGGAGACTTTGTGTGGGGTGCTAGAAGGCAGCCCCTCTTGGTACTCCACTGCTCACATGGGTAGTGACAGTGAAACATGTCAGGGTATGATTGGGAGGAATGGCCTGCCCGATCTGACCCCAAGTGGTGCTCAGTTATTGGACTTTTGTGCTAACAATTTGTCCTTAAACAACATGTTTGAGCGTAAGGATGTTTATAACCTGGTACCGGGGTACCTACTTCTGTCTGTATAACACTTCTCTAGGTCTGATCACAAATTTTTTCTTACCACTATGACAATGATGACAGCTGTAGTTGACCTTTCCTCAGGGAGACTACTGTCCCTGCTTGGATCTTCATGCATCACAGACACCTCAGCCTGAACAAGCGATTGCCAGTTGAAGCTTAAAAATACCATAGTTTTTGTCTTCCCTGCCAGCCCCACCATTCCTCACAATATTACTCTTTAGCTTGGATCAGCATTGTCTCTTTCCAGGTCTGCCGGTAAAAACAGATGATCCTTTGCTGACTACAGAGCAGTCTTTTAGATTCACCCTGTATAACACCTCAGTAAGATCTGGCCTTATTTGTCAGTCTTTGTGAAATAACTACCTGGACAAGAAGCTCAGCTACAGACTACTGCACCTGCTAACTTAGTGGTCTACCAGCTTATGCATTCAAATCACTGCAGATGATTCAAAATGCGGCAGCACGTCTGGAATTAAATTAGCCAAAACGCTCTCATGTTACACCCTACCTCGTCTCTCTTGACTGACTCCCTATCAGGTTCCAGTCCTTGGTGCAGCCTTTCAGAGCTGTTTATGGAACACCCATATCCATTGTGTCACCTCCGTTCCATCTTGCCCTCCTTGGTCAGTTTACCAACACCACCATGCAAAAATAAGTTTGACTCTACATGTTTTTCGTATGTGGTTTGTTTGTCTGTCAGTAAGTTCCTCAGATTCTTCCAGAAACACATCAACTAGCTCACCCATCCACTGACTTGCTTCATTGTCATCTGTGATCCTTTAATTTGTCTATTGTCTATTATGATTGGTCCTGTATTTGTAATTGTCTCATATGAGCTTTGATGTGAACAGCTCTCTTGTTAGGCTCTTGCAATGCACATACAGCTTTATACAGTGGCCATTGCCCAGCACTCATTTTCCTACATCTGTGCCATATCTATTGTCCTGTTACATCTATGGTATGTATTATTTTTATAATTGACACAGTATCAAACAATTATTTGTACACCTGGCCATTGGAGTTTTCTCGTAGTCCTGCTCAGTATCTGGTCGGCCCTCCTTTGGCCGCAATAACAGCATGCAGCCCCCTGGGCAGCTTTCAGCAAGGCAGCTGCCAATGGCTGGGTCAGGGCTCTCCCATGTACGCTGGAGCATGTCCTTCAAGTTCTGTTTGTTGCACGGTGGGTCTGCTGGGCATTTCCTCTCCATCTCAGCCCAGAGGTGCTCAGTATGATTGAGATCTGGACTTTGTGGGGGTCCCTCAAACGCTTTCGCCTTCTACTTGGTGAGAAAAGCTTTCACACGCTTTGCAGTGTGATTGGGCTCGTAAACTTTTTGGAAAATGTAGCGTCACCCAAGCAGTCTGGCAGCAGATGGGATCATCTGGGTAGACAGGATCTCCTCATACACCTCAGAATGCATGATGCCTTCAATATAACTGCAGACACCAGAAGCTGCCATGCAACCCCAATCCAACCATGCTTGATGGTTGGACTGAGGGATTGGGGGCTATACTCTTCCTTTGAGTTGTGCCACACTCTCTGATGACCTTCTGATCCAATCATGTTGAATTTGGATTCATCAGACCAAACAATTGATTTCCAGAAGCTGATAGGCTTATGAACATCTTCTTTGGCAAATTTCAGACATTTCAGTGTGTTCTTATTACTTATGAATGCCAGTAGCCTCCTTGATTTGCAATTTGTGTAGCAGCCAACTTTCATTTTTTATGGCAAGCTCTTTGATGTACCTGTCTGTCCTTGGACTGGTCTTTCATGGTACTGTGCCTCATATCAAGTCTGGTGGCAATTTTTTAAACATAAAGACCTTGAATGTGAAGTTTTATGACCCTTTCCCTCAATGCATTTGGTATTTCAGTAGTTTTACCAATTTTGGGAAACTGAACCAACCCTACAAATGCTTGTTTGGAGAATGGCCACTAAGGCTACTTGTTGAAACTAAGGGCCCCCAATTACCTGCCTATTTGGGACATCTGCTATTATGTGTCATGTTAAATGATCTCTGTTACAGCTGGGAACTCCTCCCATTGTAACATATTTGTCAAACTGTATGAATGGCGAGGTGCACAAATAATTATTTGAAGTTAGAAAAATTCCAGAATGTTTTCATAAAAGTTTTTGATTCTTTACATAACACACATATAATTGTAACATTTTAGATGTTTTTAAAGTTTGTTCTTCAATATCCTCAGTTGCATTTCTATTTTTGATAATTTTTTGATGTGTGCAAATAATTTTTGGCTACACTGTATATATGCTGCACCGCGGTCCTGGGGAATCTTACTTCATTCCTCTGTATGCTGTGAATTGTACATAAATGGTATGACATTGAAGACCCACTTTACTTGACAAGACAATGTTTTTGTGGTGTATTATGTAAGTCCTGTTATACTGCAAAATTGCACTTACTGGTCATTCATTGTACGCTCATCCTATCTGCAATTCATATTACTAGTTTATAAAATGTAAGTGACAGACAATCCGGCTGATGTGTGGTGCTGCGATATTTAATCCTGGGCGCCAGTTACAGATGCCAGTGACCTGTGTGTGTCTGGCTGGACAGTTTCCTTTTTAGTGTGAAACGGATACCAGGATGGTTACCTTGACGTGGAGAACAGCAGGCCTGGGGGAGCTTGGCTCAGCATGTCAGGACCCCTCCCCCAATCACATGATTGCTGACTTTGCTTGCAGTGTTCAATTTGTCAGCCAAGAGTTAAAGCTCAAAGTGTCCCCCCAGTCTGCTGTAGCCCCTGCTTTCAGGTCCTTTGATGGTGTGAATTTTGTGTTGCTCCCTCAGTGCTCTGCAACGTTCGCCTGGGATATTCCTCCTCCTGTGCACAGTGGACTAAACGCTTTGACAGGCAGCTCTGTAGAAAAAGAGGCTTTTCCTTGAACTACAGTGGGGCTGGAGGGTATAAGTAATAAGAGGAAGTATAGGTCCTTTCACGCTGCAGGAACGTTTTTCAGGACCCAGAGACTTCTGTAGGAATTTGGCTCGATTTTAATTCTGGGACCTTCTGTTGGTCCTAACTCCAGGGTAGGTACTTTTCATTTGAACAGGAACTACAGGAAGGGGCTTATAGAGAGAAACTTGCTGACTGGTTGACCACAAGCACCAGCTCCAACATGGAAGTTACCCGAAAGTGCTGGGAAAAGAGACAGAAGTAGGGAGCAAAAATATAGCAGATGGGATTATTTTTGTATTTCAAATATTAATGAGTATCTTTGTAGTTTGAGTTTGTATCTCCATATTTCTGTCTCAGAAAATTCTATCATTGCAGTTTGACATAAAAGTGCTTTGACTTTCTTGTCAAATATTTGTTGTTATATTTGTGCACTGACCACCCAGGCTGATTACCATAATACTGTTACATTGAAAACAAAAGATCGATTTACTGGCCAGATTTAATAATGAATTATGAACATGTTGTGGGCTGTATGAATGTTTGTCATGGGCTGGTACTTTGAGACCTTTCCTGAGTTGCCATCCATCCTGTATTTTACAGGATCGTCCCTGATCGTATTGTAAAATAAAATGTTCTGGCCCATTTTAAACTAATACAGAATGCAATTCCAAGCCCAGGAACTTGTAGTCATGGACCAGGTTCCTGAACTTCGGTGGCAAAGTTCCCCGTGAGATTCCCTCCGCCAGCCAACACTGAAGTCGCCACACAGGTATCTGACCCACAAACTGCGTGTTCTTTCAGGGACACAAACCTCTCTTCAATGCAGCTATTGTACGGTATACTACTGCAATGATGTCAGCATTGCAATAATTGAAAAATAAAATAACTAAAGCAAATGAATAATGAGGAAAAATTTAACATAAATGGGATTGTAAGGTTTTTTTGTTTATTAAGATATACATTTGGATTTTTAAATTATTTTCTCATCCATTGTCCAAAACAAAAAAAAGCATTGACTTGGGATCTATAAAAATATAAAGGAGAATATGAAGTGCCTTATTGCCACATATACAACAGTAAAATATTTTACAAGAGCATAGATTTGTCAAACCGTTAGGAAACCATTTACACCAGATACAAAAAGCGGTCCTCTGGCCCAGGTGCAGACCCTCCCCGCTCGCACCTTCTAACACTTGCTCCGAAAAGCGGTCCTCTGGCCCAGGTGCAGACCCTCCCCGCTCGCACCTTCTAACACTTGCTCCGAAAAGCAGTGCTCTGGCCCAGGTGCAGACCCTCTCCGCTCACACAGTCTTGCTCCACCGCTTACGCGGCTCCCTCATTGCACAGGTGTCTCCATCGTGATGAACAGCAAACCACTCACATCCTGCATCGACATCTCTGCCCTTTCTAGGGCTTTCATCCATCTTCTTTACTGGACACTGGAGCGCAGTTTACTCCAGTGATAAGGGCTCCCCAGGACCGAAACTGGGCCTCTCCCTGGGCCTCTCCCTCTCCCTCATCCACTCCATGCACCCTCTAAAGTCTCAACACACCGCAATCGATTCTTCAGCTACGCTTTGCAGTGTGTCTTTGCTCTCCCTGCCAGCTACACACTGAACACACTGTCCTGTTCTGTAAAAGGACCCACCAGCACCTTCACATCAAGACCATTGCAGGACTCGAAATGTAACCAATACACAGTGTCACGTCATTTACTGAGATCATAGAAAAGATGAGGTAAGAAACATTTTTAAAAAATGAAAGTTTTCAACATTTAAACTATAATCCAAATATATGTAAGACAGACAAAAGTTAAGTTGTCAAATCACACACACTGGTGGGGTGGGGCTTTGTTCCGGGGTGGGCTGCATGGGGGGGAGGAAGGTACGGTGAGGGTGGGGCTGCATGGGGGAGAGGAAGGTACGGTGGGGGCGGGGCTGCATGCTGGAGGGGGGTACGGTGAGGGCGGAGCTGAGTGCTGGGTTGATAGAGGGGGGGTATTGTGTGGCAGAGCTGCGTGCTAGGCTGGTGGAGGGGGGTACGGTGGGGGCAGAGCTGAGTGCTGGGTTGAGGGAGGGGATGCGTGCTGGAGGGGGGAGGGGGTATGGTGTTGCAGAGCTGGCTGTTTGCTGGGCTGGGCAGTGCAGCATAATAGGAACCAATCCCAGTTTGCTCCACCTCTGGTTATTCTGGTCAGAATCCAACATTTTTGAAGCACAATCCCCCTCCTCCCAACGGTTTTTTACACATTTTTTTTTTTTTTAAATTCTGGGATACCTCCACCTGAGACGTGCCGGGACAAGCCACACCCACTCCTAAAAGACCAATGGAAGACCTTTGGTGTCACACACTCTACAGACAGCGACTGAGACCTCACATCTCCACTTCAGTCAAAGTCCCCCCCCCCCCAGTTCCAGTATGTCCCTTTAGCCGGTGTGTTCTGAGTCTCACCCTTAGGCTCCATGTAAATATTAGCTGTTTAATCATATATTCCAGTAACACAATATTCTTCTGCTTCTTTCAATGAAAACTTTGGTCACCATATAAAGTAAATGTCTCTTCTGACTGAAGATGTGCTGTGTAAAAGGCTTTGAGATAAACAGGCAACTAATCTGGCTTTAATACACCCCATTTTCTCTCAGCAGATGTACAAATAAACTCTTTTCTGGAGTTTTCTGGCTTTTTTTGAGAAGTTTTACACTCACTCTCGGTGTGTCTCTCTAGGTTGTGGATAAGTGTTTTTCTAGAATAAATGGAGAGGTAAAGCTGTATTAGTGTGAACGAGGCAGCGTGTGGACGTGGGGGTGACTTCAAAATCAGCAGAGAATGAAATCTCTCTGTCTCTGTGCTGTTCCAGCCACTGAAAGCCTTGGTATGGTTCCTGCTCCACAGGGATGGTGCAGAACTATTTGGTAACTGAACTGGCAGAATATCCTACAGCGTTGATTCACTGATGCTGAACCACTGATCTGACCTGACCATGCCATGATTTCCTGCTAAAGGTGAGCAGTATTACGATTCTTATTGCTTACTTCAGCTCAGCTCTGTGTACAAATACAGGTTCTAATCAGCACAGCCCCCCCACACACACCCACACACACACATCAGAGCCCTTTCCTTAATCGGATGTCACCCCGAAGAGTTTCCAGGTTCACTGTGCTTCCAGCCACAGAGCCAAGTAGATGTGTGACACTGACACAAGCCTGCCCTCCGCTAGAGAGGTTTGGTCCAGCAGTGCCGCCTCCCAGCCCCTGCCGTCTGTCCGCTCTGACGTAATGATGACAGTAATACAAATACACTATATACATTTAAAGTAAGTGCAATCAAGCCTTTAGAGAGTCTGCCAGCTGCACGTCTGCTATTCCCACAAGGTGCTCAGCAGCTCCAAAATACTCACAGGCATATTAACAGTTCGGATGCTTTATGCTGCATGTAACATTGTACAGGCAGGTTGATATATCAGCCACTCTTACGGGGAAAGTTAATACAAAACACACATATGTACCTGCAGGTTGACAGAGGGGACGGACTGTCACCAACAGGCAGAATGTCCCATGCTGGGGCTGGGTTTGTCTGCCATTATACC